TGTGCTAGTGCTAATCTCAATGATGCGCTCTCAACGTAGCTTCGCCGTAGTACGTCCTCGATACTCAGATATTCTACCCGCAACAAATTCAGAAGCATCGAATATGTTACCCTAAATCGTGATTCCAACTTTGTTGGTTTGCCCTGGAATGACTGAAATCATACAAGCAAAAAAAAAAGAAAAAACATTCATATCATGAAGAGCAAAAGAAATTCTCGGTCTCAACTATTTGGAAATTCCCGAGAGAGACAAGCCCAGTATCATTCCTTGCGCTCTCTCAACACTACCCTCTTCCTCCTTCACATCACATTTTTGATTTCTCAAAAGTATCGCCTTATTTCAAAGATTTATCAGTCAACAAATAAGATTATGCGGAATGTGAGAATATCTCACCTGCATACAATTGACTAAATCTAAATAATCGGGAACATAAGGCCCTTTACATAAAACAATTACGGTCCCAGTAGCATCCAAACCTCGTCGTCCAGCTCGACCAGCCATCTAAAAAATCATTCCTAATGATCACTTTAAAAATTTTCTTCATCATGGCTTTTTGTTTAAAATGAAAAACAAAAAAAGAAGTCGACTAATTACTACAGGAGACAAAAAACTAAATTCGGAATAAAAAATTTATCAAGTATAATGGAAAAATAACCATACTTCACTAACTAATGAAGTTAAATTTCTAAAAAAGCTGCTCACTGTTCTTAACACAACGGTATCAGTAACCGTCTTAAATTACTCCACCTTCCGGTAACCCTGTCGTGAATTGAAGCTTTCCCGTAAACGGACATTTGAATGGATATTTTCAGCTGCCTTGAACTTCCGGAAGAGATGCCAGGCTCTGTGTTAATACTACAGCAGCATTATTACTATTACCAATACTATTTATTGAAACTTCTCCAATAAGGATTTATAAAAAAATTGGCAGAATACCTGAATATATTCCCCGGGATTCAACATTCGCAACTGACGGCCATCATGTTTCTGCAGTGAGTCGAAAATTACCGTCCGAGCGGGCATATTGACACCCATAGCAAAAGTTTCAGTAGCAAACAATACCTACAACATTGGTTTCAAACTAACAGCCAGAAGAATAATGCTTGCACATCGAAATAAATTCCCAATTTGGCTATTTATAAACTGATGCGCTAAAAAACATTCTACCTCAAAAATCCTACCTTATTCTACTGCATGTGTTCAAGATCTCGAAAAACAAATTTGAAAATGTAAAATTCAGGAAGCTAATTTTCGCTTGTATTGTGAAAGCAAATACCTTGACCAGTCCTTTTTGGAAAAGCAATTCGACAACTTCTTTTAGAATTGGCAAAATACCACTGTGATGTATTGCAAAACCATGCTTGCACAATTCCTTCATTTGTAGTACCTAGGAAGATTTAAAAATTTTGCTCGGGACTGAATTAAATTGGCATAATTTACAAAACACACTGAAGTTGGTTAAAATATCACTGGTAATTTCTTGAAAGATCAAATTTAATAAATGAATTGGGAAAACAATTTGCCGAATAAGCGACAATGCAGCAGCGACACGTTAATGAAGAAAGCGTAGCGACATTAAAAAAAGACATTATCGCAACATCAAGAGTAAAGAAAAAACTAGTTGCGTTCCAATGTTCTAAGACTTTATAATTTCTTTTTTTATTTTACCGGTCTTCAAGATTCATTAAATAATGCTATCTACAGAAAATAAAACGGCTATACCAAGTGGACAAAAAATATGCAGTGGATGAAAAAATAAATGGTGGAAAACAATTTCTAATAGTTCTGATAGCTTGGCTGCATCATTTAATAACACTAGAAGGATCGTGTTTAATAAACTAAATGAAGGAATATTACTAATGGAATGGGTTATAAAACTAACCTGGGGAAGACGTTTGTCCGAACCCCTCAAGCGCGCAATACACTTTGAGAAGAAATGATGTATACTAGACTTTTCCTTTTCTGTAGTCAAATCAACTGATCGCAACAAATATGCATTATCATCACATCTTAGAGTAATTATTCGTAAATTAATATGAAACTTGAAATGATTTTAAATCAAAAACCATAGTGATGCGACCATTTTCATCAAACTCGCACCCACGGTCAGAAAAGCATAATAGCAATATTGCAGCGCTGTTACCAAATACCTGAGTAAATTAGATTTTTTTTTTCCGAAGAATAGAATGACATGGTTGAGTTTTCTTTTACTAGCTGTTTCTTATGACAAAGAACAAACAGAGAGGAAAGTCAAACCTTCGTCTAGAAAAAACAAAAACAATGACTGGTAACATGTTCTGCATGCGTAGATGGTCGATAACAGTGATGTAAACATTCTTGTCCTGTAAACATCAGAATATGAAGACGCATAAATTATGTAAAATGTGGCTTTAAAAATTAAACAGATTAAATTGCAGATTGCAGAATCTAGATGAAATTTAAAAAATAATAAAATAAAGTCAAATGAAATCAAAAAAGTTATAATAATTTTTCAAATAACTTAAAATTTTATTATTTGGTCGATAACCAATAGGTCCCATGTTTGCACTTGCTTTCCGTATACTTGCTTTTGCTGCACTTGCGAGAGAGTATCTTTAAAATGTATGAGCAAACAATAAATTTCTTTAAATTTAAACAAAAGATATCACTGCAGTAGAAGAGGGGACCGGCAAAATATTTTCCTAAGCTTCCATCAATCTGGAAAATATTTTTGATGCTGAATGCCTACAATCATGTAATCCAAACCACAACGCTTAATAAATCTATTAAATGTTATTTATTAGTAACTGAAACAGTGAAAAGCTTTCAACAAGTTTTCAAGCAGCATGTTAAACAGAGATCATCCATTAATGCAAGTCATAGTTTCCGTTCTTTAAGCATATTGAACCTGAACGACCAACTGCTCTATTCGTGATCAAGGGGATTCGATAGGAGCGTGGACAACAATTAAAGCAAAATATGCAAAATATAAATTCATGAAATGAATTCCAATGTCAAGTTGATACCCTTTTTGCACAAACTGTCCATCGCTATCGATAATTTTAAACATATCCTTCTTAGTTTTACCATCTTGCCCAGTATACAAAAAGTGTTCCAATGGCACAGGACGTCGTGCAGTCATAATCACATAAATCTGTTTTTTTTTGATGCGTCTGAAATTTTTATATCGACGGGAAAACGAAAATAAAATGAAAAATGATGTTATTTTTGAATTGGTCGAAATTCCTTGACTAAACTGGATTTGGTTTTTCCCTTTGACTAGTAAAAAAACCAGATAAGAATGACTTAGAAGAAGCTCGCAACTTCAATGTAACGAAACGACAATTTCAAACTACAGAAAGCAAAGACTTACCCAACCCAATCAGCAAATTCAACACAATTAGGCACGGTAGCACTTAACATGACAATTTTCGCATGAGCTGGCAGCATAATTAGCACTTCCTCCCAAACATGTCCACGCTAAAAAAATTATAAATAATTATTTTTAGCTGACTGTTACACCTAATTTGCATGCCTTATCACAGTGAGGAAGCGGAAATAGCTGAATAATGTTGGTAGAGAGCATAGAATTAATGTTTTAAAGTTTCAAGATGATCCATATCAGCGATAGCCTAAAAAGATGCAAACAAAGGAATATACTGATGATCTTATTATGAATACCGTCCCGGAAAGAATAGCATGAACAAACTTATTTACTGTTGTTCCAACAATGATCAGTGCAGTACTATTAACATTCAAGGAGTATTCGCGATTGTCACTGTTATTTCTCTAGAAAATGATATGATGCAGCTTCATATAGTGCATCAGTGAAACTG